ATAGCTATGTTAAACTACCAGAGGGTAGTCTAGATAGATAAGATAGATCATATCGATAAATATGATGGATACGATAGATACAGTAGACAGACAAGATATACAGGATAGATACGACAGACAGGATTGACAGAAGAAATGAAAGACAACATAGATACGATAGATAAGATAAACAAGGTAAGATAGATAGATTCGATTAGATCAGATTAGCTTCGATCGGATTGGATGGTATTAGATTAGATTATATGGATTGTGGATAGAAGAACGAAAGGCAGATAGACAGACAGGCAGGCAGGCAGACAGGGACACCGAGTCATGGAGACATGTAGGTAGAAAGATAGATACATAAATAGAGAGATGGATAGGATAGGAAAAGATTATAGAAGAGAACATATATAGAGATAGAGATAAGATAGAGAAGACGCATAAGATACATAAAATAAGATGATAGATCGATGAGATGCAAATGTAGATACGCGCAACGCCTGGGCTCTGCCCAGGCGTTGCAGCGTAGAGGGTCCCCATTCCCAATCAAATGTTGTTGCAACTCTGCATTCCATTGGGAAAATCAACAAAGGTATTAGGGAATATTAAAATCCCACCCCCGTTAAACTCTACATTCAATTGGGAAAATAAACAAAGGTATTAGGGAATATTAAAATCCCACCCCCGTTAAACTCTACATTAAATTGGGAAAATAAACAAAGGTATTAGGGAATATTAAAATCCCACCCCCGTTAAACTTTACATTCAATTGGGAAGATCAACAAAGGTATTAGGGAATATTAAAATCCCACCCCCGTTAAACTCTACATTCAATTGGGAAAATCAACAAAGGTATCAGGGAATATTAAAATCCCAACCCCGTCAAACTTTACATTCAATTGGGAAGATCAACAAAGGTATTAGGGAATATTAAAATCCCACCCGCGTCAAACTTTACATTCAATTTGGAAGATCAACAAAGGTATTAGGGAATATTAAATTCCCACCCCCGTTAAACTTTACATTCAATTGGGAAGATCAACAAAGGTATTAGGGAATATTAAAGTCCCACACCCGTTAAACTTTACATTCATTGAAGATCTTCAATAAGGGTTTAATTCTCCCACCCCCCTTAACCTTCTACATTCATTGAAGATCTTCAATAAGGGTTTAATTCTCCCACCCCCGTTAAACTTCTACATTCACTGAAGATCTTCAATAAGGGTTTAATTGTCCCACCCCCGTTAAACTTCTACATTCATTGAAGATCTTCAATAAGGGTTTAATTCTCCCACCCCCGTTCAACTTCTACATTCACTGAAGATCTTCAATAAGGGTTTAATTCTCCCACCCCCGTTCAACTTCTACATTCACTGAAGATCTTCAATAAGGGTTTAATTCTCCCACCCCCGTTAAACTTCTACATTCATTGAAGATCTTCAATAAGGGTTTAATTTTCCCACCCCCGTTAAACTTCTACATTCATTGAAGATCTTCAATAAGGGTTTAATTCTCCCACCCCCGTTAAACTTCTACATTCATTGAAGATCTTCAATAAGGCTTTAATTCTCCCACCCCCGTTAAACTTCTACATTCATTCAAGATGTTCAATAAGGCTTTAATTCTCCCACCCCCGTTAAACTTCTACGTTCATTCAAGATGTTCAATAAGGGTTTAAGTCTCCCACCCCCGTTAAACTTCTACATTTATTGAAGATCTTCGATAAGGCTTTAATTCTCCCACCCCCGTTAAACTTCTACATTCATTGAAGATGCTCAATAAGGGTTTAATTCTCCCACCCCCGTTAAACTTCTACGTTCAGTGAAGATCTTCAATAAGGCTTTAATTCTCCCACCCCCGTTAAACTTCTACATTCATTCAAGATGTTAAATAAGGCTTTAATTCTCCCACCCCCGTTAAACTTCTACATTCATTCAAGATGTTCAATAAGGGTTTAATTCTCCCACCCCCTTTAAACTTCTACATTCAGTGAAGATCTTCAATAAGGCTTTAATTCTCCCACCCCGTCAAACTTCTACATTCATTCAAGATGTTCAATAAGGGTTTGATGATGATGATGATGATGATGATGATGATGATGATGATGATGATGATGATGCGTTGAAGTCGTGGTTGCGGTTCTGGGCAAAGCCCAGGCATTTGCCGTATAGATACATTGATCGATTGATCTATTGATCAACAGATATAGGCGCATATGATACTTGACTACATTACATGACAAGACATGACAACACATTTCATTTTTCATTTCATTTCATTTCATTTCATTTCGTTCGTACACACTTACCCACTCTGTACACAGAAACACAAAAGACAGGAACAAAATATTGTCCCCCCTGGACTTCTTTGGATACAACTTCACCTGGAAATCCACAGGTTGATATTTCAATCAAGAATTGCCATGTGAATGCCATGTGAATTGCCATGTTTGTGTACCAGACCTTAGTTTCACACTCAGCGTTGCAGGTGACTCTGACTGCCTTCGAGAACGAACTCGGCGTGCAGGCGCCAGTGGGTTTCTGGGATCCCGCCGGCTTTACCGCCGACGGAAGCGTGGAGGACTTCAAGCGACGTCGCGCCACCGAGATCAAGCATGGTCGCATTTCGATGTTGGCCACCATGGGATACATCACCCCAGCGACTTGGATTTGCTGAAGCTGTGATTAAAATCGTTTAAAACAATTTCAGTTTCAGTAAAATATTTTTTTTGTTAATGTGTCCATTTCTGCAATTCCACTATAGTTGGGTGATGTTGGGTGAACCTACTCGCACTGGCAATATGTGGCAATGTTTTTTCTTGAATGCATTCCGATGAAACAATCCCCAGGAGATCACTGGCAAATTCCCTGGCTACTTATCTCCATCCGCCGGTTTGAAGTTCGCCGATGTGCCTAATGGTTTGGCTGCCATCTCAAAGGTCCCAGCCGCAGGACAGGGTTGAAACAACTGGATCCATCTGAAAATCAAAGCCATACATATATATATATATACATATTCATTATATATATATATATGTATATACATATATATACATATATATATATATATCATAACATATATATATATACACACTGTATCTATCCAATAACATGTAGAAATATACACATTTCTTTCTATGTATCATCCATTATATAAATGTGCTTGATCTGTTTGTGGATACACGATAGATGTACAGTACTTATGATATGATGATATACAATTCATTATCTCCAAACCTACACTATAACTATGACAGTATAACATGTTGCTTTGCTGATTTATGTAGGTTGTTTAGAGGCCCAATATGCCAACCCTGGAGGATGGGGTCAGATCTTGGCCTACATGGCTTTCTGCGAGGTCTCCCAGGAACAGACCCCAGGAAGTGCTGCGTATGCTGGAGACTTTGGATTCAAGGTATTGACCTCTTCTGACCCGGCTGAGAAAACCAAAAAGCTTAATGCCGAAATCGCTAACGGAAGGCTTGCGATGATGGCCATCATCGGTATGTTTTTCCAGGCGGGGATACGGTTCTGTGCGCATATTGTTTGTTACAACTCAACAAGAAACGAAACATTACACAGAGCGTGGCTGAAAGAGTGCAACAATGTAGAGCATCAGCACAACAGAATCAACATCGTTGAAGAAGAAGCACAATTCTGTGTCAATTCGCATGGTGTGTTCTGAGTTTCTGAAGTTTATTTCTTGCCAGCCACGTGTTCAGCACATCGCATGTTTCATTGTTTGATATTGTTCTTACTGCTATATTTACACATATGCTTGCCAATAAGGTGAGTTGTAGAATGTGTCGGGAATGAATAGTTTCATGATGTGACATGTACAGATTGTACAATTGATATAATGCGTTCGAAGCATGCACAAAGACATGACATTTCAAGATTTGATACTATTCATTTCGTTTATACATATCATATCGCGCCATAGCATATCATATCATATCATATCATATCATGTCAATTTGTATCATATTCTGTCATATTGTATCACATAATGTCATACAATGATATGTATAGAATTATCAACAATCTTGATATTGCCACCCTGTGCTTTTGATCTCTGCCATAACTTCCATGTCCCAGGATGGTCTGACCGGAAGCGCCTGGGGAGACTGGGCCAACTACACAGCATCTCCTTTGCGCGCCTTCGAGAATGAACTCGGCGTGCAGGCGCCCGTGGGTTTCTGGGATCCCGCCGGATTTACCGCCGATGGAAGCGTGGAGGACTTCAAGCGACGTCGCGCCACCGAGATCAAGCATGGTCGCATTTCGATGTTGGCCACCATGGGATACATCACCCCAGTGACTTGGATTTGCTGAAGCTGTGATTAAAATCGTTTAAGACAATTTCAGTTTCAGTAAAATATATGTTTTGTTAATGTGTCCATTTCTGCAATTCCACTATAGTTGGGTGATGTTGGGTGAACCTACTCGCACTGGCAATATGTGGCAATGTTTTTTCTTGAATGCATTCCGATGAAACAATCCCCAGGAGATCACTGGCAAATTCCCTGGCTACTTATCTCCATCCGCCGGTTTGAAGTTCGCCGATGTGCCTAATGGTTTGGCTGCCATCTCAAAGGTCCCAGCCGCAGGACAGGGTTGAAACAACTGGATCCATCTGAAAATCAAAGCCATACATATATATATATATCATTATATATTTACATATATATATGTACATGTACATATATATAATTATATCTATACACATCATTATATATATATATATGTATATCATAACATATATACTGTATCTATCCAATAACATGTAGAAATATACACATTTCTTTCTATGTATCATCCATTAAATGTGGTTGATCTGTTTGTGGATACACGATAGATGTACTTATGATATGATGATATACAATTCATTATCTCCAAACCTACACTATAACTATGACAGTATAACATGTTGCTTTGCTGATTTATGTAGGTTGTTTAGAGGCCCAATATGCCAACCCTGGAGGATGGGGTCAGATCTTGGCCTACATGGCTTTCTGCGAGGTCTCCCAGGAACAGACCCCAGGAAGTGCTGCGTATGCTGGAGACTTTGGATTCAAGGTGTTGACCTCTTCTGACCCGGCTGAGAAAACCAAAAAGCTTAATGCCGAAATCGCTAACGGAAGGCTTGCGATGATGGCCATCATCGGTATGTTTTTCCAGGCGGGGATACGGTTCTGTGCGGATATTGTTTGTTACAACGTAACAAGAAAAGAAACATTACACAGAGCGTGGCTGAAAGAGTGCAACAATGTAGAGCATCAGCACAACAGAATCAACATCGTTGAAGAAGAAGCACAATTCTGTGTCAATTCGCATGGTGTGTTCTGAGTTTCTGAAGTTTATTTCTTGTCAGCCACGTTTTCAGCACACCGCATGTTTCATTGTTTGATATGGTTCTTACTGCTATATTTACACATATGCTTGCCAATAAGGTGAGTTGTAGAATGTGTCGGGAATGAATAGTTTCATGATGTGACATGTACAGATTGTACAATTGATATAATGCGTTCGAAGCATGCACAAAGACATGACATTTCAAGATTTGATACTATTCATTTCGTTTATACATATCATATCGCGCCATCGCATATCATATCATATCATGTCAATTTGTATCATATTCTGTCATATTGTATCACATAATGTCATACAATGATATTTATAGAATTATCAACAATCTTGATATTGCCACCCTGTGCTTTTGATCTCTGCCATAACTTCCATGTCCCAGGATGGTCTGACCGGAAGCGCCTGGGGAGACTGGGCCAACTACACAGCATCTCCTTTGCGCGCATTCGAGAATGAACTTGGCGTGCAGGCGCCCGTGGGTTTCTGGGATCCCGCCGGCTTTACCGCCGACGGAAGCGTGGAGGACTTCAAGCGACGTCGCGCCACCGAGATCAAACATGGTCGCATTTCGATGTTGGCCACCATGGGATACATCACCCCAGCGACTTGGATTTGCTGAAGCTGGGTTTAAAATCGTTTAAGATCATTTCAGTAAAGATCATTAAAACATGTTTTTTGTTAATGGCCAGTTCTGCAATTCCACTATAGTCGGGTGAACCTACTGCCAATGTGTTTTTTTCTTGAATGCATCCCGATGAAACAATCCCCAGGAGATCACTGGCAAATTTCCTGGCTACTTATCTCCATCCGCCGGTTTGAAGTTCGCCGATGTGCCTAATGGTTTGGCTGCCATCTCAAAGGTCCCAGCCGCAGGACAGGGTTGAAACAACTGGATCCATCTGAAAATCAAAGCCATACATATATATATATACATATTCATTATATATATGTATATACATATATATATATACATATATATATATATATCATAACATATATATATATACTGTATCTATCCAATAACATGTAGAAATATACACATTTCTTTCTATGTATCATCCATTATATAAATGTGCTTGATCTGTTTGTGGATACACGATAGATGTACAGTACTTATGATATGATGATATACAATTCATTATCTCCAAACCTACACTATAACTATGAGGTCACGGGTCCATGAGTCGCCTGGTTACGAAACCATCATTTAGGTATTTTGCCTATTGGAAATCAGACGTCAGGCAAAGGTGGCAATTTTTCACCATCCTGAAAACTAACGCCGCTACAATTTTTTTCCTTGCAACTTTGCCAGTTGTTTTAAGAACTGTGCTGGGCTCGGCCATTTCAGCGAATTGCGCCAGCAGCGTAACATAACACTTGCGACCAAAAGCGTAGCACGACGTGTTGCGTAAAGATGATGCGGCAGCCTGCAAGCGTAACATAAAAATAGGTAACAAAAAAAAAGTCCAAGCGAACGCAGCAAAAGGAACGTTATTACGCCCACCCCCCCCAACCCCACCCACCCCCCCCAGCAACAGCGTAGCACGACGTGTTGCGTAAAGATGATGCAGCAGCGTGCAAGCGTAGCATGACGTCTTGCGTGCAAGATGATGCGTCATCCCCCGCGTGCAAGCGTAACATAACACTTGCGACCAAAAGCGTAGCACGACGTGTTGCGTAAAGATGATGCGGCAGCCTGCAAGCGTAACATAAAAATAGGTAACAAAAAAAAAGTCCAAGCGAACGCAGCAAAAGGAACGTTATTACGCCCACCCCC